AATTCGTTTAAACGCGTAATCGTGGGGGCCTTAGTTATACATAGTCTAACTGCCGATTATGTGTATAGTAGTTATACATAGTCTAATTGTCAAGTATGTGTATAGTAGTTATACATAGTCTAATTGCCAATTATGTGTATAGTAGTTATACACAGTCTAATTGCCGATTATGTGTATAGTAGTTATACATAGTCTAATTGTCAAGTATGTGTATAGTAGTTATACATAGTCTAATTGCCGATAATGTGTATAGTAGTTATACATAGTCTAATTGCTGAGTATGTGTATAGTAGTTATACATAGTCTAATTGTCAAGTATGTGTATAGTAGTTATACATAGTCTAATTGCCAATTATGTGTATAGTAGTTATACACAGTCTAATTGCTGATTATGTGTATAGTAGTTATACACAGTCTAATTGCCGATTATGTGTATAGTAGTTATACACAGTCTAATTGCCGATAATGTGTATAGTAGTTATACATAGTCTAATTGTCAAGTATGTGTATAGTAGTTATACATAGTCTAATTGTCAAGTATGTGTATAGTAGTTATACATAGTCTAGTTGTCAATTATGTGTATAGTAGTTATACATAGTCTAATTGTCAAGTATATGCAGTTCTGTTATTCTTTGAGATTATGTAACACATTAACACAGGAGAGTAATTCTAATTTGTTTTAATTCAGGATGATGTAATTATTTGGAGGGAGCAGGATTCTGGTAGTGAAAGCAATGGCTGTTGTAGGTAATCCTTACACCCAGCACCATGCCCAGCTGGGACTTATTGAGGCCGGACTCAAAACTCTCAAAACTGACAAGGTTTGTTTATTTAATAATGTTTTTCATAATATTAACAAAAAATCACAAAATAATTTTGTGTTTTTGTGTAATTTTAAGAGTTATCTTTTATAATTATGAATAGAGTAAATTATGAAGAGAGGAACAGATTAAAATGTTAAGTAATTTATTTTTCTTGACAGTTAATAAATTTTGTAAATGCTGAACTAGTGCACAAATATTTATGTATTTGTTAACCAGGTTTTCCGAAGGAAAAAACTGGTTATTAGATTGAGGTATGTCGGCGGGCGGACGGGCGGGCGGGCGGTGCTTGCGGGGGCGTAAACAATTTCTTCTGTGCGCAACTCCTTCTACATTTCTCAACGGATTTTGACCAAAACTTGCACAGAAGCTTTGTCATCAAGTGCCCTGGCGCATATTGACAGGGTTTTGCGATTGGATAATATTTGACCTAATTATGGCCTTTGTTTTTTTTTTCATTATATAGAATAATAGTGAATCAATTTCTTCTGTGTTGCAACTCCTCCTACATTTCTCAACGGATTTTGACCAAACTTTAAACATAAGTTTTGTCATCAAGTGCCCAATGAGCATATTGTCGGGGTTTTGCGATTGGATAATATTTGACCTAATTATGGCCCTTTCAGTTTTTTTTCCTTATTATAGAATATATAGTGAACCCAATTTCTTCTGTGCGCAACTCCTCTACATTTCTCAACGGATTTTGACCAAGCTTTCACAGAAGCTTTGTTATCAAGTGCCCTGGGGCATATTTCGGGGTTTTGCGATTGGATAATATTTGACCTAATTATGGCCATTTGTTTTTTTCCTTATATAGAATATATAGTGAACAATTTTCTTCTGTGCTGCAACTCCTCCTACATTTCTCAACGGATTTTGAACCAATCTTTCACAGAACTTTGTCATCAATGCCATGGCGCATATTGTCGGGGTTTTGTGATTGGATAATATTTGACCTAATTATGGCTCTTTGTTTTTTTTTCCTTATACAGAATTTTCAATATATAGTGAACAAATTCTTCTGTGCTGAACTCATCCTACATTTCTCAACGAATTTTGTTCAAAACTTTCACAGAAGCTTTGTTATCAAGTGCCCTGGCGCATATTGTTTGGGGTTTTGTGATTGGATAATTTTTTACCTAATTATGGCCCTTTGTTTTTTTTTCCTTATACAGAATATATATTGAACACTTCTTCTGTGGCAATTCCTCCTACATTATTCATGTTTTACATTGCACATAGTTACATTGTTTGTTGCTTGTATTTGTATTTCAAATACAACATATTTATCTACAATGGTGATAATTGAAAACCTGGTTTCGTGGCATTGCCATGTTTCTTGTTTTAAGATTTATATGCATTATAGTTCTTTAAAAATCTTAAAACTTGTGAAAAAGTATAAATATTTCAGAAAACAATGTTTTTAAAGCCATTTTGAAAATGCACCAAATTAAACATCAAATATTTGAGTAGAAAAGCTTATGAAATTCGGACCTATATGTGGTGCTGATTTACATATGCATGTGTATGAAATAATTCATGCTTTTTGGGATCTTTCTCAGCAGTAAGGTTAAACATTGTAACCTGTTGAATTGATTATTGTTGATGTAAATATAATCACAAGAAAAAAACAAACTCCATTTTAAGTAACAATAAGTATATCAAAACAAGAAATATTTTTTAAAGTATTGTTCAAATCACTATAATCTGTGTGTGTTTATTTCAGAGTCTTATGTCCGATGCAGAGTTCTCAGATATGTATTGGGCTGTGGAGAGACATCACAGAGACTTGCGCCTGGCCCATCTTACTGGAAAAGCAAAAGATCTCATGTACATAATTACTTTCTACTATCAGAATCTTTTTATGTGGCTGACTTTTTACATAGATTGTTAAATGACGAGTCTTAAAAAATTTAATGATAAAAATGTAGTTGTAATTATTTTGTTTGTTATTACAATCATATGACTTAAATTGTAATAAACATATGTAATATGATGGCGCGGCCAAGTGATTAATGCATCAGACTGAGTTATCTTAGGATCACTAGCCATGTGGGTTAAAACCCTTTTAGGGGCAGCCATTGTTTCCTTTGAGCAAGAAACATCACACTCTTTGTTTAGCACTGGTTTGTTCCAAGAAAAAAATTGATAAAAATATACCTATTTTGAGCTAGGGGAAACTGCCTTTATTCAGCTGTAAAATACACTGAAAAAATCACTAATTCTGTATAAACAAATGAAAGTACAGGTCAGATAATGCATGTTTAGGGTATTTGAAAAGGTTAATAGAGTAGAGCATAATAGATGCATTTTTTGAGAAACTGCAACAATGGACTGACTAAAGATTAATGACAAAAAACATAATAATCATAAACTGGGGAAATGTACATGTTTTTTAAGTCAAAATACCAATTTTAGCACTTGTGGGGAATTGTTTTTTATTCAAATTTATTTGGGGAGCAGGGCCCAGAAAAAAAACCAAGTTTACAAATTTTACTTATTTAAGTTTTTTGTGAAATAAAAAAATAAGTTCATCTTTTTTTAAAATTTCCATAAAAAAAAAATAAGTTTTTAAAAAAATCTTTATTTTATCTTAAATTATAATGAAAAACTGGATATTTTGGTTTTTTAAAAACTGTTTTTGTCCTGGTTAAAACCCGCCCAAAGATTTTTATTAGGGGGACATTTTGTGATCCCCCCTTTGTCTGGAACCCCCAATATTTCCTTTCTCTAAATAAAACAGTATGTAAAAAAGATATGACTTTAAAAAATGAGGGGGTGTTCATTTTACATTTAAAGACTTTAAAAAAGAAACTTTTACCCCTTATTTTCTTATTTTCTGGTTGATGGTTCCGGAACAGGTTTTTAAAAGCTGTGCCCTTTTGGCTTTTAAAAGCTTTCCCCATCAAACTAAAAAAAAATTTCTGAATAAAATTAAAAGAAATTGTAGTTTTTTTAAAATTTTTGTCATTTAAAAAATTTTTTGAATATTGTGTGTTTTACATTTTTGAATTTTCCCAAATAATAAAAGAGTTTTTACATTTTGTGTTGCAGGACAATTTTTTCATTTGATGTAGAAAAAATATAATTGTAAATTTAAAAAAAATAACTTTTTTGCCCGTTATAAAATGTAATCAGAAAAAAAAAATTTTTTAAAAATTTACATTATCTCTTTTTTAATGGGCAAAATGAGGCTAAATTTTGTTGCATAATTCAAAAAAATTTTTCTTTTAATGCCCATTGAAAAAATTAAAATTTATTTATAAACAAAAAATTTTTTTTAAAATAAAAATGACTAAATTTTTAAAAAAGGCTTTTCTTTCCCCTCTTTTTTTTAGCATTTTAGCCCTTTTGGAAAATTAATTTGGGTTAATTTCTGAAGGGTATTTTTTAAAACTTTTTATGTCGGTTCCAGTGGTTTTTTTGAATTTCAGGGGGAAGTTATTTTTAAAAATTTAAAACAAAAGTGAAGTTATTTTTAATTTTATCATAAAACTTGGATGGACATTTTGTTTAGAGGGTTTTATTTGTTTTTAGTCTTTCCCAAAGGGCTAAAAAAGAAGGAGACTGCCATAAAAATACACACATGGTTATGGGTTTTTTAAACCCGACACACACTCGCTAACAAAAACCCGTAAGTTTAAATTTTACTTAAAACTTTTCAAAAAAATTTTTCAATTTTGACACATTTTCCCTTTTGGGGAGGTTTTGTCACTTTGACATTAAAAGTTTTATTTTGCAAAAATTTTTTTTGTTTTTTTTTTTTTAAACCCGCACTCTTTTATCTCTTTAAAAAAAAATTTTTACACAATTATTATATACCCTTTTTTCCTTTTTGTTGCTCTAAAATGGGGAAATTAATTTGCCCAAATATAATTATATAGTGCTCTCATTTTGATTTGCTAAGTGGTTAAGGGTTCTGTTTTTCAACCTATATGAAACAAGAATTGAAAAAATAGTTAAAAGTAAGATGATACAAAATATTTGCTATATGCCTTAGAGTTCTTGATTTCCATACACTCTTAATAAAAGGTCACTTAAACTATAAATATAGAAATCCTAATTGTCTTTTAATAAAATTCCTATAGAATCTGGTATTCAATTTTCATAATTTAGATTGTAATTCTTAGCTTTATAACATGATCTAAATGATTAATCTTTTCATTTTACAGAGGTTTGGGAAATCAACACCAAGGAATGAAACAAAAGATAGTTCTAGGACTGAAAAATTAAGAACAAAGTCAGCTAAATTAAGCTATAGAAGTTTGAAATCTGCTACCTCTGCTGGGGGGAAACATTCAAACAAAGAAAACGTGACAACACCTCGACAGCAAGACTTTAAACAGTTTATGTCCGAGACAAGGGATGATGTGTCATCCATGCATGGTGTAGGTGACAGCATGAACCCTCCTAGTGAACCTGCGTCAAGTCGGTTGTCAGTTTTTGGCAATGATTTTCTCACTAATCGTTTTATGATGGATTTACCATCCAGTAAACTAAGTTGGCATTTGGATACACCAATGGGGAAGTCTGGGACAGATATGGCTAACTCCCCTACAGAATGGGATGGTCCTGATATAGAGGTAGGTCATTCTTAATTATACTTTTCCATTAGTGAAAGGAGCATAATTCCTTATTTGAACCTGCTGTAACCAAAAGTGATAAGCCTTTGCCACCAGTAAATAGCCAGGCCAGTTTGCACATCTATACTGTTAGTAGCTTAATTTTTATATTTTCATAGTAAAATCACTTGGCTGACCCATAATGACGGTTTAGCCGTTATGTTGGGTGTGAAAATCATAGTTAAACTAAGTTGGATTTGGATACAACAATGGAAGCAGGGCGATTGTATCCCACTCGTGGCATGTTGTTGTAGAGTGAAATTCATAATTTACTTTTCATAGTAAAGAATAATTACTTATTTAACTTGTAACAAGTATAGCCTTTCCCAAATTAGTTTCATTATACTGTTACTAGTTAATTTTTTCTTTTAAGGATAAAATCACTTTAACATGGATGGGCTGCACCCATTTGAAAGAAAAGGCAATTAGAAACACAAATAGTAGTTAATTAAAAACAAAAATTCTACAAATGAAGCAATTGATAGTTCATGACCACTTAAGTATCGAACATTTCTTGTTCATCATTTTTAGCTTGACTTTTCAAAGAATGGTGGGCTATCCTACTCACCTCGGTGTCAGCGTTTGCTTCAGCATAACAACTTCATCTTATCAAACACTTGAGACATTTACTTGTTGCTTCACTCTCTAACAGGAGGTTATTATCCAATGCCAATGACTCTAGTATAGATTTAAACAGAATTTTGGCTCTTTGTGAGCTGGTTGAAGTTTTGCATTTAACATTAATTTTCAAAACTACTTTAGATATTGACTTAAAATTTAATACACATCTTCAGACCATAACTTGAGGTCACTATTCAAGGTCAGTAACTGTGACTTGGATTTTGACTGAATTATTGCCCTTTGTGAAGTTTGAGAATTCTTAGTTAAAGTTTTGCATGCAACATCCATCTTTTTATTGAAGGTATTTACTTAAAAAATAATACATGTCTTGGTGACCCTATTAATTGGACGCCTGTTTAAGGCCCGTTATTGGTGTTGTGGTGATGAAAAATATGTTAATAATAGGTGTTTCTAAAAATAGAAGAAGGCCTTGATCCCACTTGGCACCATTGTTGTGATGTTGAAAATTCAAAGGTACTTGTTTCTATAAATAAATTTAATTACTTATTAACTAACATTTACCTTTTATTGTTCTTAGTTTGCTCAGGAGTATTCTTTAATGGGATAAAATCTAATTGTCAGGATGACATCACCCTTTGAATGCAAAGAGAAATAAAACACAAATGTAGAATAAATTTAAATCAACTAAATTTTTAATGAACTATGTTTTTATTTACACTAAACTAAAAGTTACTTAAAACTAAACAAGTTGACAATAAGTACTGTAATATAAACTGTTTGTTATTAACCAAAAATATGATAATCAAAATAAACTAGTGAATAAAAGATATAAACCAATAACTGTTATAAATGAAAATATGACAAATAACCTTAATGATTCTGTGCTGTTAAACTAATAAATCTGAATAGTAGCAAGCCCTGTTTTAATCTATACCGGTATGAACAAAGATAAAGATCTAATAATTCAAGATGGCTGCCACTTTAAACAAAGATAAGATATTAATTAATCTTAATTTACTCTCTAAAAACTAATTACCGGTACCAAAATTACTTACAAATTTATTAAAAATGTTTCAGTGAATTTAGATAATCTCTAAGGTTGATTTAAATACCAAAGTGCCTTAATAAATTAAATAACTAATTAATTAACCTTAGAGAGCTTTAAGGGATGTTACTTTTCCAAAAATTAGCAGCAGAATCTCAAAAGTGCCTGAGATGCTTGTATATTTGGACTTCTGCATCCCAGAGGGAGCTAGTATCTACTTACAGGTGGCACTGTATGGAACAATTTATCTGATTGGTCTGCAAACAGCTAACCAGAATTTACTTAACAAATGCAGTTAGGCTTATCAGTACTTTACGTAACTACTCTAAAAATAGGTTATGATTCATGGAAAATTTTGCAACGTCATCAATTGAACATGATTATAAAAATAATAAAGTTTTGCAAAATATTTGTAACAATAAAACTAGTAGCTAATATCAACTAAACATATTTACAAACATATATAAATAATGCAAATGCTAAATTAACAATATGTATCTCACTAAGTTTAAAGGCCAGTGTAATTGAAAGTTATTTAGAACCATTCTCTATATAGTGTATATAAAGAGTCTTAGGCTATGCTAAGTTGCTGTTAAAGAGTGTATCAATAAGTTCTACAAACTATAATCAACATTAAACTAATGAATGATAAGAATGAAATGTCTATAAAACAATATATGTCATGTTTAATATGATTAAACTTTAAAATTCACTTAAATCTAAGTTAAAGTTTTAACCCTTAATATTTCTTGAAAAATATTCCTTAAGATTATACCGTAAAATTCCTATTATACGCCCCCGGGGGCTAAACATTTTCCAAAATGGGGGCAATTATTACAACACGTTTTTTCCTAAATCCAAAAATCATTGAAAATACATTTAGTGTTAACAAGTGTTGGTAATAACATTAAAATGTGTTAAGATTTAAAGTTCATGTGATACATATTTTCTGTTCACTATGAAATAAATGGATTCTGAAAGATTTGAATAAAATTACAGATTTATTAGAGTTCACCACTGATGAGCAGATTTTTTTCCATATCAAAAAGCCTGGGGGGGGGGGCTTTTATTAGGGGAGGGGCGTTTATTAGGAATTTTACGGTACATGTTATACTTCTTGAGTAATATTATACAATATTATTTAATGATTATATAACCTGTTGTAGTTGGAATCCAACATTACAACACTGGCATGGATTTTGACCGAATTATGGCCTTTTATAAACTTGATTTCTTTAGTTAAGTTTTAGTATGTGCACAACAGTAATATTTAATAAAAAATCTGAGGTATACACTTGAAACTTCATACATATTTTCAGAAAAATAATTAGTTTATAGTGAATTTGTTGTTTGGTTTGGCTATGTAGGAAGATAGAAGTTTATAGACACACTTTTGAATTCTTTGAATAAAATATGGCTTTTTTGAAAAAACATATTCTTTTGTCAATATCCAAGATGTCATAAATTGGAACAAAATGTTCCCCTTTGTTCCTACATAATTCAGACTCTTGTTTTACTATCATGCACTGAGAATAGTCAAGCATGCTGTCCTACTGACAGCTCTTGTTTGAACAGTGTTATGTGTTCCTCTGTGTTAATGCAATTTTGATAGAAATAATATTATCCAGTCATTCTCAAATTTTTTCAATAAAGCTATACCAAATAAAATGTCATACTTTTGCTTTATTTATTTAACTAAAGATGTACAAATAAACAAACTACTAAGATATAGGTTATTATGAGTTATTAAAACAAAGACGATCATCAAACATTATGTATATGATATACAATATATCACATGATGTGGTTTAAAGTGAATCAACATTTAGACATGTATTGAAATGTTTATTTACAATCATGATACAGTACATTAAATAGAATTTCTTTGATATATATATAGTATATTATATACCATTGTATTGAATGGCTAAATGTTGTGTGTCTGGTCTGATACCTAAACATGAAACATGATATAATTCCAATCATAAAAGAGTTTATACATTTATAATGAATGTGTATTGGTTAAATGTAATTTAAACATAGTTATAGATTGTTTTACTTAATAACACATGGTAAGTCAGTAGCAAAACAAGAGCTAAATATTTCTTTTGCATGTTTGTACTCACAGTTCATAATGTTATTATTTCATGTTTTAATTGTCTTTCTTCATTGAAATGACTTGCATTTTTTCTGAAAATTCCATACCAACATACAATTTTTGTGTTCTGCTGTCAAACACTGCACTCCTTGGGTTAGTAATTCCTTCACCTACACTGGTATTTACATGTATCTGGCTCAAATTTTCAGAGAGCTGATATATATGACTGGAATACATGCTTGACCCTAAAACATACACTGACCCATCTTCATCTGCTGTAATTCCTACAGGCTTTCTCAGGTCTTTGTCTTTGTAGATGGCCTTCACTTTACCTTCCAAGGTCAGACTGGTTACTGTGTGATATCCATTATCTGAAGCATAAATTGTGAACCCATCTGGACTGAGTGTTAGGTACCAGGGCTTTCTAAATAGTGTGTTCCCAAATTGATCAGTTTTGAAACATTTCATGACCTGCCCAGTCTTGTCTAGGATTTGTATCATACTTTCTGGCTTGTCGAATGAGACAAAGATTTGTCCATTGCTGTAAGCTATACCCCTGCATGAACCATTTACTGATATCTCTTTCTCCTTATTGATTGACCCACACTGATCAATTATCAAGAACATGATTTTATTGTCATTAGGGAGTGTTACAGCAACCTTATCATTCTCGATCTTTGAAACATCCCATGGTTTTGATGGCATAGCAAAAGTTGTTTGGATTGAACTTTTGTTTGTTTCTATAATTTTTACAACTTCATTTCTTATATCAGTCAGAAGTATCTTATCTTCAGGTAGAAAACAAAGTCCAGAAATTGTTCCTGCAACTTTATCAGAATCAGCTTTTACTCCTATCTCTTCTCTAAGGACCTCAGTTTTCTTTATAGATGAATCAACAAGCTGTAGTTTTCCTAACTGTTTCATTTTCTCCTTTATCTCATTTATATCCTCAGAGGCTTCAAATTTATAGTTAACTACATGATTGTTTACATCTAACTTTATCATATTTTCTTGTAAAGTTTCAAATTTACTTTTTGCCTTCATCATTGCAATGAATAAATCACACATTTGTTCAGCTTTCTCTTTTGAATCGAGGTCAGAGATCACTGACTGAAGGTCACTATATAACAAATCTTGTCTGAGTACAACACTTTTCAGCAATTCAGAATTGGTAAGGTCCATTGAATCTAATTCTGTATCGATTTGCATTTCAAATGCATCAAGCATGGCAGTCATCTCATTTCTATGTCTTTTTATTTCCGACTTAGCTCTATTGCTATAATATGCTTTCTTTAGAACATTAGTTTCATATTTAGCTTTGTTTTGTTCTAACTGCCAAGTAAACTCTCTTAGTCTGTCATTAACTTCCTTATAGTCTTCAGTATCTTTAAGTCCAGTTACAATGTCGGGTATATGATGTAAACTGGAACATTTGTTGTGCTGGGTTGTCATACATATTGAACAGCCAATCTGGTCACATGACTTACAGAAGTACTCTACAATCCTGTTTTTATGCTTTAAGCATTTCTCATTGCAAACATCTTTGATATCCTTCTTACCTTTCGAAATAGCATCTTCTTCTGGTAAAACTCTGCGATTTGCCTTATAACCCAACTTGCTATCCTGTAGAACATGGCCTTGAAGCACTTTCAGTTTTCTGTGAAAATCACAACATTTTGAGCACAGATATTGCTGACAGTCCACACAAAATTTGTGTGCTTTTGCTTGTTTCTTATCTAATGGACAAACATCACACATAATACTGCTGACCACATCAGAGCCTGATGATAAAGATTGGTCAACAAAAGGATTTATACCAAATATAACAGACTCATTTATATCACTACCACATTCAGTATCTCTATTAAGACTGGAATGAGTTTCCTTAATTGATGTGCTAAAATCACTTGCACATTCTAAGTCTGTTTTACCTCTTGAAAAAGATTCCTTTCCAGATACACTAAAGTCACTAGAGCATTCCAGGTCTGTTTTTATACTAGATAAAGGTTCCTTTATAGAATTACTATAATCGCTGGCATATTCCAAATCTTTTTCAACACTTGAATCAGCCTCTGTCATGGATACACTCATGTCACTTGAACATTCCAGATCCTTGTCAATTTTTGTAGAATATCCTGTGACAAAATCTTTTGGTTGTTTAGACATTTTTTTTCTATATCCTGTTATATTTCTGTTCTAAACTAGTTAAGTTGTATTTTCTTTCTAATATATGTGTGTGTAGTCATTGGAGCTTGCACAATCAGTGATATCGATAGCCTAGTGTACACAATGTATAATATTTTACCAGGTTTATATTAGACACTTAGGTTTAACGGTAAAAACCAGATAAATTGATTGAAATTCTTTGAAATTTTATATACCTTGCCAGTGCCTTGTGTGAGCTTTTATATTTTTTGATTGACTAGACAATTATCTATAATTTTAACAGTTGAAAAATACTTATGAATAGAGAACAGTTAAACTAACGGTAACTGCAGTTATAAAGAGTAAACTTACTGAAACAGCCTTGATAAACAGTATACAAACTCTGACACCCATTAAAAACATTACTCTAACTTTAACACCTCCATTTTCAAACACCTATTGGTATCAGTTCACTAACTCCAGGGTTTTTTATGCCCCCACAATGTGGGAGCATATAGCATTGCACTTGTCCGTCCGTCCGTCAGTCAGTCAGTCCGTCCGTCCGTCTGTCAGTCCGTCCGTCTGTCAGTCCGTCCGTACGTCCCGAAATCTTGTGAACGCAACTCCTCTTAAACCGGATGACAGATTTTGCTTAAACTTACAGGGATGAACAACCTTAATGTGTAGATGGTAGTAAAGGAAGGAATTTTCGCTGCGACCAAATTTAACAGAATTATGGCCCTTTGTTGATTTTTTCACTAGATACTATGTAGAAATTTTGTGAACGCAACTCCTCTTAAACCGGATGGCAGATTTTGCTGAAACTTACAGGGATGAACAACCTTAATGTGTAGATGGTAGTAAAGGAAGGAATTTTTGCTGCGACCAAATTTAACAGAATTATGGCCCTTTGTTGATTTTTTCACTATATACTATGTAGAAATTTTGTGAACGCAACTCCTCTTAAACTGGATGGCAGATTTTGCTTAAACTTACAGGGATGAACAACCTTAAGGTGTAGATGGTAGTAAAGGAAGGGATTTTTGCTGCGACCAAATTTAACAGAATTATAGCCCTTTGTTAATTTTTAGTTTTCAACTTGTGGCACATGTAGTCCAAAAAATATTTGACCTAGAGTCATAAGATTGACAGAACAGTGGCGTGTGGGGGCATCCGTGTCCTATGGACACATTTCTAGTTTCCCAGGATTTTGGGAACATGACCCATACCCATGGAATTTGGAATTTCAGAGATGTTGGGAAAAATTGCATGACTGAAATTTTGCAATGATTAAATAAATGCAAACAATCACTGTCTAGAAATCGGCATCTTCAAACATTTAAGCACTGTAACAGTGAAGAAGACCTTTATTTTCAAAGATTTTAGAGTTTTTTATTGATTATTTTTATTTTGTAACTTTCAATTGGGAATTTTTCCTGTGGATTTGGAAAATTATATACTATTTTCATTTGGGAATATGACCGAATATCGGCTATAAAACAAGCCAAAAAAAATTCCCTGGACACTTACATCCATTATAATTGTAAACTAACTTTAACACAAGGCTGAAGGGGTGTGGAAATCCTATGCCCAACTTGTCCAACTTTATGCCTGCGGAAAAGTAGATTTTTCCATAGAACTTGTCCGTGAACAAGTGAAAATCTGAGCAAGTAGGACAAACAAAATACTGTATTTTTATCTTTCCTTAATGGGGAACATTTATTCTAGTAAGTTAAGGAAAGAAATCTTAGTTAACTTAGTTAATACACTTTTTCATATCAATAATTTCACCCCATGGGAGAACTCTTGTAGGAACGCAAGCTCCTTGATACATGTAGGTCTTATGAGGCAACCTTTTCTCTTTTTTTTAACTAAATTTTATCATGCACATTTTAAGTTACAATTGTAAAGTTGTTTTGGTTCAAATGTTTACAATTGCACACATACATTTTGTTATTAGATCTTGCTTTCCTTTGCCATGTTATACCCCAGTAAGTGTCCCAACAGAAAAAAACTTTCACCTTAATGATAAAGAAAATTAATAAGCACCAAAGAGATGATAGTTCTGACAAGATCCATTGCCTTATAAGATTTGTAGATTGTTTCCACAAACCACAGAAATAAAGCCTGGTCTTTATGTATCATCTTACCATAAAAAGTAGTACCTCTCAATAAGTTTTGCCCATGCTAAGGTACAGACAAGTAACAAATTCTGCCCAACTTGTTTGTGGGCAAGTGGTAATTATTCATATTTCACACCCCTGTCTGACAGTTAACTCACTCAAACACAAATTAGAATTAACAATATCTCAGTGCAACTTTAGCAGAGGGTCTCTGTACAGTAAAGACCTCTTTGTAGCAAGGACTTCTTTACAAGAACAGTTCTTTGTTTTAATTCTTCCCAAAGTAAGATTTAAATAATCTTATATAAATCTCTTTTGAGCAACACCTCTTAGCAAATTGACATTTCATCTTTTACTTTGATGTGTATGCATGAATACATGTTTTAATTTATTACAAGAAATTGAGCACAGTTGCATTGTAGATCTCAAGCCAAGGTTCATGATCGACAGTTTATAGTATGATATTACTTTATATATCTTCAGAGAAGTGTTTATTTAAAATCCAAACCTATTTATACAAACAAAAGATTTTATTGACTTTTACTTATAGCGCTATTGAATGACTCTTTAATATAAATTAAGTGTGGAACTAAGATTTTTAAAGGGACTGATTTGTTATGTAGATCAAAAATTTAAATCTATACATATCAAATTTCCCTGCTTTTGAAAATTAATTTCAAGTGGGAAAATGTACAAGATATAAACAGAAATTGTGAAAGTTTGGTCATTACCCATGTCAGATAGGTTGAAAAGTATTGATCCTTGTGAAGGTAGGTGTAAACAAACTTATTAACATAATAGTGAATAAAATACATGGACTAATATACCCTGAAATGTTCAGAAGATATGGATAATTTTTTTTTAATGAAATATTATTTTATAACTTAAGGTATGTTTTTGTTTTATTATTTGCATTTACTTGAACTGTTAAAACTACTAAGGTTAAGACACAATAAATAAAAGTAAAGATAAAGTATATGACTGACCATTAAATAATGTCAGTAGTAAAATCAAAGAAATGCATTATAAAGGTCACGTGTTTATGACATGGAAGTCTCTTAAAGTGCATAAGAATACATACTGAATTGTAACAAATTGATAATGAAGTTGCTCGAAGATTACATAGTGAAATGTAACAAGTTATGAAGTTGTTCCAAAAATTGGTGTTCTATTGTAACAAATTATGAAGTTGTTCCAAGACTTGGTGATCTATATACATACTGCATTGTAACAAATAATGAAGTTGTTCCCTGAATTGGTGTTCTATATACAGATTGAATTGTAACAAATTATGAAGTTGTTCCAAGACTTGGTGTTCTATATACATACTGAATTGTAACAAATTTATAATTAAATTGTTCCTAGACTTGGTCTTGGTGTTCTATATACTTGCTGCAGTGTAACAAATAATGAAGTTGTTCAGAGACTTGGTTTTCTATATACATACTGACCATACACAATGCAATGTTAATCAAGAGTGAATTCAGGTTATTTAAAGGGTATAATGTTATCGTTAAAATTTACAATTTACAGCTATGTAAATCATTACATCAATTACATGTTGTCTGTAAATATCATTGTAGTCAATAAACAGAAAGTATAATAAAAGAGATGAAACTTGTATGTAAAAAAAAAAAGAAGACAATAAAAGGGATTTACATTATTATATGCTTATTTACCTCAAAGACATCATTTTATTTAGTTGTGCTGGACACTTATACAAGCCTATTCCACTCATCCCACAAATGTTATTTAAAATGGAAATAAGTTATACATCTTAAATTTAAAGAATTGTTTAACAACAAAAGGTGTACGAGTACTTTACCAGTATATAAAAAAGGGGCGCAAATTTACACATTTAATTGTTTTTGATTGGTCTGCCTGATGTATGCTGATTGTTCACTTGTGAAATTGTGTTCATTCAGTGTTTTCAGGTGTTTTTTTCCAATGTCGCTATTAACATGAAACAGTTATTATAGAAGGTTAAAACAATTAAAACCTGTCACTTTTGCTTACATCACTTTCCTCATGGAAAAAGTTGAATTTGTATATAGTCCCAAGTGTGGAACTTATCAGACTGCTTGGAAAAAGTGGTCAAAGCAGTTCTGTCGAAATTTGAGTTCAATATCTCAAAACATATATGAGCCGCGTCATGACAAAACCAACATAGCGCGTTTCCGCGCAGTCTGCGTTTCCGCGCAGTCTGATCAGGATCCATGCTGTTTCTTTCAGTTTCTCTACTTGTAATAGGGTTTGTAAGCGAACAGCATGGACCCTGATCAGACTGCGCAGATGCGCAGGCTGGTCTGGATCCATGCTGGTCGCAAACGCATTACGTTGGTTTTGTCATGGCGCCGCTCATATTATACATGTTCACTTAAGCTAGTTGAATCTCTGCTCTGGCATGTACATGGGTGGCTTTCTGCCATGATCTGGAAGATAAACTACCAAAAGCATGGCATTAGAAATGTCTTTTATTGTATAATTACAGTATTCAGATTTAAAGTTTAAAAATGTGACTTGGGTGAAAGATGTTCAATATATATAAGTGGAAATTATTCTTATTGCTTAATAAGCAATTGAATGATTCCTTGATGTAAAGTTTAAAATGTTTTGTTTTAAATATATAGACTGATTTTCTCAAATTTGTAGTTATTTTATTGAATATCGAGACAGGGTTTTAAAGCCCATTTAGAATGTATGTAATTAACAAAGCATGAGCTGATCATTCAATCTACCAATACTAGTATATAATAGACTTCTCATTGTATTTAATACACTCCGCTTATTAAACCAATTAATAATTATGAAATTCAACACCATTGTACAAGAATATGGATTTAATAGTTTGAATTGTTAAACAAACAAAGAAAAGTTTGATACGAAAAGTGCAGTGTTTTTATATATTCTCCCAAGTTTCTTATTTGAAATAATAATAAAGTTGTGAAAAGTTTGGTTAGAGAATTAGGAATGTTATACATAATGAAAGTGAATGGTAAATAAAGACGTGTCTTCTCACAATACCTATATTTACTTATATTCTTGGTTTTAGACACATTTGGATCATATTTCTACTATATTAACAACTATTGGACAAGGTAGTGTTATCTGTGTTTGATATATTTATCTTTAAAGATTTATGATCTTTCATAAATATAATACTTGTAAGTAGTAACTATTTAATACATTTTAGATACTTTTGTTTTTTTCTCCAAGAGTAGCAGTGTTTATTATGTCCTGTATTTTTTCCAAGAGGAGCATTGGTTATAATGTATTATATTTTTTCCAAGAGGAGCATTGGTTATAATGTATTATATTTTTTCCAAGAGGAGCATTGTTTCATATGTACCGCTACCATATTTTTTAAAAGAGGAGCATTGTTATTTATGTATAAATTTTGTAAAATTTGTTTATTTTGTACTATACTTTCCCGAAGAGGAGCATTGTTAATGATGCACTATATTTTTTTTACAAGAAAAGCATTGTTTATTTTGTAATACACATTTATTTTTCCAAGAGAGGAGAATTGTTTATAATGTACTATATTTTTTCCAAGAGTAGTATTGTTTATTATGTACTACATGTATATTTTTTCTAAGAAAGGAGAATCGTTTATAATGTACTATATTTTTTCCAAGAGTAGTATTGTTTATTATGTACTACTATATTTTTTCCAAGAGGAGAATTGTTTATTATGTACCAGTATATAAGCTTCTTTTAATTTGGTGTGTGTTCCTCTCAGATACTACTGTAACTTCAGATAGATTGACTGTGATATTTACATCTTTGAATGTTGTCCAGATTGTTTACAGGTGGTCAGTTGGTTCCATTGGCAGCTATATCCTTACATAATAAGAAATGGAAAGTTATCATAGATAGAAGATCCTATCAGTTGGTTACTGTATTATTTGTTTAGATTTCTTCTCTCATTGGCCAAAATATTTGTTAAGGTTAGGTTAAATAAAACAACAAAACCATGCTTTTTAATAAAAAAGAATTCATAAAACTCAAAATGTCATGATACTTAATTTATTATTTATAGGATATTTCATTGTAAATGATTTTTTGTTTGATGCATACATTTACAGTTTGAGTTTGTTTATCTTACAATTGATAGAATAATGCATCTGTACATCGAGTTCAGATACTTTAGCAGAATTGAAATCCCAAGAATCACTAATTGTGTCCTTCAGCATGGTGCTGGACATGATTTTCCTTGGGGTTTTGTAGATAACAATAATTATGTTTCATGGGATGGTTAATATCTGTAATGGCAAGGACATCTAAAATAATGAATTTTTCCAGGTTTAAAGTTAAAAAAAAAACATTTGTGAGACATCTTCTTATTAAAAGTCTGCTGGTTATTTATAAGAACACATCTTTATATAAAATATTAAAACTGTAAAAGATTTGATGAATAAAAATATTTCTGATTTTGTTGTAATTATTGCATTGAAGGTTCTCTTATATTAAGTGACATTATGCTTGTTTTGTCATTGTCAACTTATGCTGAATTGACTATACATTTCAAAAGATTTGACTGTTATAATTATGATTGACCAACAAATGATAATTGGAAAATGTTTAAGCTGCCAAAAAATATAAAAAACTGCCCTACTCTTTTTATAAATTGAACATTACAGGTAAATTCTGATATTTACAGAAATTTTCTTTGACCACTTTCAGGTAATTTATAGTTCATGTGAAGTAAATTATAAAATTGAAAGGAATCAATGCAAAATGTAAACTTGTTTTGAATTTCACCTGTTTACTGTGTAACTTACTGTATACCCTTGGATGGACATTATGTCCTTTTAAGAGAATGCGTAAGCATACTTTTTGTGATATCATCGCATAAACTTTGGCTAGGGCACGTGGACCATAGCTTGAAATTTTCATTAATGTTCATGTACAGACTCGATGGAATTGTCAGGGTAACAATGTCAATTTTGTCATGTAAGGCAAGACTTCCCATATCACGTAGTTTAGAATACTCAAATTATATTATCGATGCATCTCTATTATACCAACATATTCTCAATATTTATAATGTGCGGACATGAATTATGTTGAAGTTAAAAAATTTCATCTTAATGAATAAAAATGCAATATTTATTTTATATTTGTCGGCATCATGCAAGATATAAATTATTAAGTTCATTAATGAAATTAATGCAGACATATATGAAACATCAAGCATGTCAATAATACAGCATTCTTTGTTAAAGTGCCTGATTTTAATTACTGTTAGGAGTACTTATATGGATTTAATATGTATAAGTAGGACATTTCTTGTTGCATGTATTTGGCATGGTTTACCTCACTGTATATCATGCTTGAATGAAGTGTATAAAGATCAGACATTTTGTAAAGATGAAGTCAAGTATGCAATTGTAAACCCAGACTATTTTACATTTGTTTAATCAGCCACAAAAATTATCTCATTGAAATAAGTAATATTTGGAAAGAATGGATAGATTGATATGTCTCGTCTCAGATGTAGTGATGTAGTGTTTTGTAAATAATCAATTCAAATAAAATTAAAATGAAATTTTATAAAACTTTGAAAGGTGAGTTTGTATGCTGAAGAAGAAGTTGTAATTTGTGTAACAGACATTGTATATTTTTTTGTTTGTAATTGCTGTCTGTGTGTGTTGACTTAAGACAGTTTGAAATTAATGTTAACAATTGATTTCTGAGGGTTGTAAATGTTTTACTGTGCTCTGAAGATTCATCATAATAAGAATTTTCTGCATAGTGATTATAACAATTTATTGATAATTTTATAATGACAGTGGTGAATATATAAACAATAAATTTGTGAAGAACTTTCTGCTCTTTAATTGCTTGCTATATGAAAGGCAGATCTGATAGATTTTTCATTTGAATTTAAAAGGTTTGTTTCTTTTGAGTTGTTATAATGACATGTTTAGTGAGTTAAAGTCCCTGTTATTTCTTTTTTATGAAGCTTGTTTATATTTTACTTTTAGCCCTTCTTTATTTGAATATTAAAACTGTCATATTGTTGTAGACTTATTGGGAGAGGGCATTGATCTGTGGTGAAACTTTGAATGTTAAATGTATATTTAACTTGATTCTTATTAAAGTTTTTATATTGGCATTCCTGTAGTTGGCATCTTTAAAGCAGGCCGACTTCTATGAATTCATAAATTTGTGTAATTTAGGTGTATCTTTATGTGAAATATTATCTATAAACAATTTTAATGTATACTTACTTATGTACTGGGTATGGCTGATCTGTTTATTGGAATAGAATAATTTTATTTCACCAATCAAGGGTCATACTATATGACATATATAATCACAAGCATAAAACATATTGCATGTAACAAAATATATCGACCAACAAATTGTGTATTGTATGGTAGAAATGAAGACAATAAAGTAACTAAAGCTTATATTATCCTATGATATTACTTTTTCATTTGTAATTATCATAGAATGTTTAAAATATTTTTTTAGTTTTAAAATGTTTATATATGTATTATACTTGATATTTGATCTTTTCTCACTAAAGATCATCTTTAATGAAGTTATGGTAATGTTTTTTTCATTCATTGTTTCAGTTACAGCGTATTGGAGAAAGTTCACTAAGCAGACCAACCTTTGATGAACAATTTCATGCCAGCCATCCATCAGTTCCAAACTCAAGTCCTCAGGCCGGAAGTCCACGGAGCATTGGTTCTGGTGATAGTGACGGTAATGCTAGTTCGGGCGTAGATGTTGGTTCAGCAGACATGATGGACTTTCACAGTGATGTTAGACGTCGTCTGTCACATGGTGTAAACACATCAACCGGTACAGGCGTGCAGGGAATGTCCGATGACCAGGTAGTTTTTTCGACCCTTTGTTTGATAGGTCACCTTATTTACAGACTCTTTGATTTTGTTGGCTGCTGGTGGAACATAGTTCTTATTGGAATATTAATCATTTCTTACCAGTGTAAACATTTGTGTCTGAATGTGTCCTAAAGCCCTTACTTAGATAATTCTCACGTTTTTCAGTTGTGTATCTTACATTAATCCTTATCCTCGCTAAATATCTGAAATGAACCTGCCCATCTTTCAATCTAAACAAAACCATTTTCCATTTTTTGGGGAAAATTACAAAATATGTACTGGTTACATTGGTAGAATCAGTTGCCACTAGTGGGCTAAGAGTTAAATAAGGACCATGAACATCCCTGCCACAGCTACCATGTTGGCTGGGATGAAACCATGGAGTTTTTTTGAGGATCACACGACACAAATTCCTTACCACTGAATATAAAAACTTCCTCAAAGTTTGTTTTTCTAAACACTTACATTCTATACTGATACATCTGATACATATGATTTGCTTAATCTTAAAAAAAAATTGCAAACTTTTTTTCAAACAGTCTATGATAGGGTTAGGTTTAGTCATGTTTACATTTAAGCCTTAGTGAAAGTTTTTTTCTTTATATATTTGTAGAGTTTCACAGGAGGTTATGGTTTACCCCGTAAGATGGTACATTCTATCGCTAGTCTTGTTAATCCTCATGCCAAGTTAGCCGAGTCTGAAGCTATCAAGATGGAACACGAATATAAGAGAGATCTTATTAGAGAACAGATGTCAGCCACTCCATATAAATCTAACAGCAGAATTAATTCAAGTAAAAGTATGTAATGATTCTGACTTCAAAAATGCTGAATAGTTTTGATGGTTGAAAGATTTGATGGTGTGGTGTTTAGATATTTGATGTGTAACATGGGTTTGTGGATCTTTCCTAAACTATGTGTAACACATGGTGTTATAACACAGGGTAGATGTGGTTATTCATTTATTGTTTCCAATCTACATATACAGTCAATATCATGAATATACAATATATCTTCTCTGTTGAAGTTAACTTTAATCAAGGCACTGAAATGACATAATAATAACAATGTTTGCACATATAATATATACAATCAATAAACATAGCATTTAAACATCTTATTACCATAGACATTAAGATCACTAAATGATTAAAGCATTTGTACTCTTATGTCTTACCAGTTAAACATTACATGTATAATGTTTACATTATTACAAAAGGTATAAATACCAACATACTCTTATACTTACAGATCTAAGGGATCTTAAGCCTATTCCACAATAAACCAATGACAAATTAGAATCTATAGCACTTCACTTCACATCACATACATCCTGTCTCACGTGATGGTTAACTGTGAACAAGATTAAAACATATAATACATGCTGGTTATAAAAATATAGAATTGAAAGAGAAAGTAAATGACTGCCATTTTGGAACATTCAACGCGCTGTAAAATACAACATTGCAAATAAACCGAATAATAAATAATCATTTCAGCCATCACAAAACTACCTTAAATACTTCTCACAAACACTTGGATAGCTCAACCAAATGTAAATCATATAAACAAGTTCAAATTAACAGAATGTTCTCTACATCAACCACGTAAACTCTTTTCAAAACCTGCACAACATTCCCGCCAAACTCTCGCGAGATCACAAAGAAAACAAGATATGTTTGTAAAACATGTATGCCCCCTATCAGCAGCCAATTAGTCATGTGATAAGGTTATTATGCATGACTTCTGACCCAGTGATCAAACAATTAATAAGGGTTATCAAGTATCTACTGGTCATGACCTTAACCTTTGACTCCTTGACCCAAAACTCAATAGGGGTCATCTGCTGGTCACGACCAATCATCATACAAAGTTTGAAGTTCCTAGGCCTAAGTGTTTTTAGTTAATTGATCGGAATCCGTTTTAACATACAAGGTCAATGTGACATTGACCCCTTGACCCCACAATCAATAGGTCATCTGCTGGTCATGACCAATCACCATACCATGTTTGAAGTTCCTAGGCCAAAGGGTTCTTAAATTTTTGATTTGAAAGCATTTTTACCTACAAGGTCAATGTGACCTTGCCCTTTGACCCCTTAACCCCAATATCAATAGGGGTCATCTACTGGTCATGACAAATCACCATACCAAGTTTGAAGTTCCTAGGCCTAAGGGTTCTTTAGTTATTGATCGGAAACTGTTTTTACCCAAGAGGTCAATGTGACCTTGACCTTTGACCCTTGACCCCAAAATCAATAGAGGTCATCTACTGATCATGACCAATCACCATATAAAGTTTGAAGTCCTTACGCCTAAGGGTTCTTTCGTTATTGATCGGAAACCGTTTTTTACCTACAAAGTCAATGTGACCTTGACCTTTGACCCTTAACCCCAAAATCAATAGGGGTCATCTGCTGGTCATGACCAATCACCATACCAAGTTTGAAGTTCCTAGGCCTAAGGGTTCTTTCGTTATTGATCGGAAATCGTTTTTACTTACAAGGTCAAAGTGACCTTGACCTTTGACCCCTTAACCCCAAAATCAATAGGGGTCATCTGCTGGTCATGACCAATCACCATACCAAGTTTGAAGTTCCTAGGCCTAAGGATTCTTTTGTTATTGATCAGAAACTGTTTTTACCCAAGAGGTCAATGTGACCTTGACCTTTGACCCCTTGACCCCAAAATCAATAGGGGTCATCTACTGATCTTGACCAACCACCATACCAAGTTTGAAGTTCCTAGGCCTTAAACTTCTTTAGTTATTGATCGGAAACCGTTATTGCTTACAAGGTCAATGTGACATTGACCTTTGACCCCAAAATCAATAGGTCATCTGCTGGTCATGACCAATCACCATACCATGTTTGAAGTTCCTAGGCCAAAGGGTTCTTAAGTTTTTGATTTGAAAGCATTTTTACCTACAAGGTCAATGTGACCTTGCCCTTTGACCCCTTAACCCCAATATCAATAGGGGTCATCTACTGGTCATGACAAATCACCATACCAAGTTTGAAGTTCCTAGGCCTAAGGGTTCTTTAGTTATTGATCGGAAACTGTTTTTACCCAAGAGGTCAATGTGACCTTGACCTTTGACCCTTGACCCCAAAATCAATAGGGGTCATCTACTGATCATGACCAATCACCATATAAAGTTTGAAGTCCTTACGCCTAAGGGTTCTTTCGTTATTGATCGGAAACCGTTTTTACCTACAAAGTCAATGTGACCTTGACCTTTGACCCCTTAACCCCAAAATCAATAGGGGTCATCTGCTGGTCATGACCAATCACCATACCAAGTTTGAAGTTCCTAAGCCTAAGGGTTCTTTCGTTATTGATCAGAAATCGTTTTTACTTACAAGGTCAATGTGACCTTGACCTTTGACCCCTTAACCCCAAAATCAATAGGGGTCATCTGCTGGTCATGACCAATCACCATACCAAGTTTGAAGTTCCTAGGCCTAAGGATTCTTTTGTTATTGATCAGAAACCGTTTTTACCCAAGAGGTCAATGTGACCTTGACCTTTGACCCCTTGACCCCAAAATCAATGGGGGTCATCTACTGATCTTGACCAACCACCATACCAAGTTTGAAGTTCCTAGGCCTTAAACTTCTTTAGTTATTGATCGGAAACCGTTATTGCTTACAAGGTCAATGTGACCTTGACCTTTGACCCCTTGACCACAAAATCAATAGGGATCATCTACTGATCATGACCAATCACCATACCAAGTTTGAAGTTCCTAAGCCTTAAGGTTCTTTCGTTATTGATCGGAAACCGTTTTTGCTTACAAAGTCAATGTGACCTTGACCTTTGACCCCTTGACCCCAAAATCAATAGGGGTCATCTACTGATCATGACCTATCACCATACCAAGTTTGAAGTTCCTAGGCCTTAAACTTCTTTAGTTATTGATCGGAAACCGTTATTGCTTACAAGGTCAATGTGACATTGACCTTTGACCCCTTGACCCCAAAATCAATAGGTCATCTGCTGGTCATGACCAATCACCATACCATGTTTGAAGTTCCTAGGCCAAAGGGTTCTTAAGTTTTTGATTTGAAAGCATTTTTACCTACAAGGTCAATGTGACCTTGCCCTTTGACCCCTTAACCCCAATATCAATAGGGGTCATCTACTGGTCATGACAAATCACCATACCAAGTTTGAAGTTCCTAGGCCTAAGGGTTCTTTAGTTATTGATCGGAAACTGTTTTTACCCAAGAGGTCAATGTGACCTTGACCTTTGACCCCTTGACCCCAAAATCAATAGGGGTCATCTACTGATCATGACCAATCACCATATAAAGTTTGAAGTCCTTACGCCTAAGGGTTCTTTCGTTATTGATCGGAAACCGTTTTTACCTACAAAGTCAATGTGACCTTGACCTTTGACCCCTTAACCCCAAAATCAATAGGGGTCATCTGCTGGTCATGACCAATCACCATACCAAGTTTGAAGTTCCTAAGCCTAAGGGTTCTTTCGTTATTGATCAGAAATCGTTTTTACTTACAAGGTCAATGCGACCTTGACCTTTGACCCCTTAACCCCAAAATCAATAGGGGTCATCTGCTGGTCATGACCAATCACCATACCAAGTTTGAAGTTCCTAGGCCTAAGGATTCTTTTGTTATTGATCAGAAACCATTTTTACCCAAGAGGTCAATGTGACCTTGACCTTTGACCCCTTGACCACAAAATCAATAGGGATCATCTACTGATCATGACCAATCACCATACCAAGTTTGAAGTTCCTAAGCCTTAAGGTTCTTTCGTTATTGATCGGAAACCGTTTTTGCTTACAAGGTCAATGTGACCTTGACCTTTGACCCCTTGACCCCAAAATCAATAGGGGTCATCTACTGATCATGACCTATCACCATACCAAGTTTGAAGTTCCTAGGCCTTAAGGTTCTTTAGTTATTGATCGGAAACCGTTTTTGCTTACAAGGTCAATATGACCTTGACCTTTGACCCCTTGACCCCAAAATCAATAGGGGTCATCTACTGGTCATGACCAATCACCATACTAAGTTTGAAGTTCCTAGGCCTAAGGGTTCTTTAGTTATCACTCGGAAACCATTTGGTCTACGGACCGACGGACCGACGGACCAACGGACCGACGGACCGACAAGTGCAAAGCAATATACCCCCTTTTCTTCGAAATGGGGGCATAACAAGAAAATAAAAGACCAGCAAGAACTTATCAAAACCTAAAGAAATAAAACACCGGAAAGAGCTGACACGTTTCATAATACTGTCATACAAAAATATGACCCTGCTACACACTCCTGCTCCTTGGAAAATGACGTCTCGTCATTTAACATTAAACATCTTCATCAAGATATAACATACTGAATGTTTAAATAACATAATGACATTATCATTAATGAACATTCATAAAATACAGTCTGCTTTCAGGCACATCAGCTGTTACTGAAAATAATTATAAATATACATAAACTTTACATTATATATCAAATGCTACTTCTGCTCTCCCCTGAAAAAAAATTGTGTCCCTACAATTTAAAATAAAATAAAATATATTTAACATACAAAAGGTAAAATAATCTTATGTTTACAAGCGTTTACACATAATTCCATATGAATTGTTTTCATTAGACTTAAATTCCACATGAATTCTCGGGAATTTTCTCCACTATGAATAATCAATAGTTAAATTCCATATCAATTCTTCAGTATTTTCTCCAGTATGAATTGTCAACACTATTTCCTAGGAATATTCATTAGTTTCTTATTGTATCAGTATGAATTGTCAGATTCTTTACTGCATTCTCATATTTTCACCAGTATGAATTTTCATATGTTGACTTTACATTCTACTTCTATTGCAATTCAAACACTTTCCAGTATGAATTATCATCACATGTTGTTGAAACACCTTCCAGTTTCAGTTCAATTCCATTTTCACCTTATTTCATTTAAATTCTACTTTCACTTTCAGTTCAATTCTATTTTCACCTTATTTCATTTAAATTCTACTTTCACATTTCAATTCAATTCTACATTCACCTTTCAATCGCGCGGAACAATTCGCGTTTCAACTTTCAAACCAAATTTATAGTGTATGCATCCACTATTTATTTATTTATTTAGAGCTCTAATATTAATTCCGAAATTAATTTAAAAATTAATTCCAGAAAATGTTATTATTTTAAATGATGATTGAGATAATATTTATCTCAACACCCTTATAATATATATTTTGTTTAACTTTAGATAAGTTCCAAAATTAATTATCAATTAATTTTAGAAAATTTAATTATTTTAATGATGAATGAAATAATTTTCTATTTCATACACCCTTATAATTATTTGCTGAACTATTTCAGAGATGTAACACAGATTTCTTCAATAATATTCAATTTTATATCATTTTATTTATAATCAGTATTCAAAGGCAGATTACTCTGTAATACCTGAAAACAATAATATGTGATTCACAATAAAGTTTAATTCAATGAAAAGACAACTCCGACCTGACTGAAAACAATAATATATGATTTACTATGAAGTTTTATTCAATGAAAAGACAACTCTGGACTGACCAAAATCAGGAAGTTCAAGAATCAGAACACACAAGTCCAAAAATAAAACAGAAAGGATTCCAAGATCAAATGAACAACTTCAAATCACTAGGGAGTATATAAGCTTGGAACTCAGCACTGTTTATGAATATTATATGATGGCTGAAATATAACCTTAGCAAAAAAAAATTCTTGTTTACTTATAAAATAATTTACTTTATAATACTTAAATTTAATGTTCCAATATAGCAGTCACTATAGAGTAGTTAAAACAGAAGATAATAAGAGAAAGAAATTACTAGTTTGTGCAGCTTACTGGTTAGTTCCCTTCACCTATCAGTGTACCAAGTGAAATTCTTTCATTCAGCATACAATATCACACCCTGTAGATAACAAAATAACAAATTATTAAATATTATCCAAACATATTTTCCTGAAAATATTAAAAATTATATATGAATATTTATTACAGAATTAAATTTTCAGTGCCAAAGATTATATCAAATACTTTTTTTTAAATATATACTTGAAATAATAAATACTTTTGCACAAATTCAATAACAAAACACTATTTAAATAGAAAGTTCATCCAAAAAGAGTTTTTACAATGTTCACTGTTGGTTCGGGTAGTTAATAGTTACTATAGCACTATACTATCTTCTCCCCAGCTCTAGTTATCGTGTCCCCACGATAATGGTGATAAAGTCATGTATCAATGTTGTATGATTTCTTAATAACTCTGATCGAAATATTATTTATCAAATTATTAAAATTAAAACAAATGGTTGTGACACGTTTCATAATACTGTCATACAAAAATATGACCCTGCTACATATGCATTTAGTCAGGATTTTTCTTTTATGCCTATTGATGAAGTAACACATCCATGGGAAAAGACTTTTAAGATAAATCACTTGGATACTTTATCACCAAATGGAATGAATTCTACTTTCTCTTTACATCTATTAATTACTAAAAAGTATTTTGTATATATCTTAGTCAGTATTACTGGTGTTTTTACTTAATATTAGCACTTTTAACTGTTCACTAGTATAATGCATCAAATTGATCCTGTTTATGATTAATACGCCAAACTCAGTCACACTTTGATGTCATCGCTATTGACGTCATGTGGTGATGACATAATTTTCCTATATATTGTTTATTATTTATTTATGTACCATGAAGAAGGCTGTTGAGCTGTCAACACTGGTATATTAAAGGGAATTTTAAGATTTTGCAGTTGATTACTTGAATTTGAGCAACTTTATTTTTCAGGAGGTCCAGACTTGAGTGCTCATATTCCAGTTTTACGTACAGTTAGTGTGTCTAATAATAGAGAAGATAATGTATCAGTCTTCAACAGTTTCCGACATGATCATCTTTATGGTCAGGAAATACTTAGTAAGTCTTCCTTTATAGTCCTCTTTCAACATTTTGGTAAAATTCTGTATTTGACTTCAAAGTAGAGATCGATATAAACATATATTTGTATGTGTAGCCTTTGTCATGTCCATTTCAGAGTTTCCTGAAAATATTGCTTATTAATGTGTTATCTCTGTTTTACTCGACTTTGTCATGTTGTTATATAGGACATATAATGGGTTATAATTTGTATTTTTATTTTTCTAAAAGTAAGGAAAAATTACATTATTTCATATATTTTAACTATACATATAAAAGAACTAAGGGAGATCACTACTACCTAAATTACAGGTATTTTAAGTGTATTAAATGTATTTTTCAAAAAAGAAATAAATCAGTTTACAAGTTAGCTTTCATTCAATTTCATTTTTAAAATCCTAGTTTGACAAAGGGAGTTTTGAGTCATGCTTTTTCAAATTCTTTAACAAACCAAGCAATTTTTTCAAAGGTTATTTTAATTTATAGTAACTGCTTTTATAATTGTGAAACTAGACATATATTTAAAGACCTATAAACAGAAGCCATTTTTGCTAAATATTGACCATAAAATGCAGATGTTTGTGAAATTTCAGCTAAACTTTATGTGCTTGTTTTCTAAAAGTTTTCTTGTCTGTGAAAATTTTTATTTATTGAATTTTGATAAAAAAAAGCTTTATTATGTAAGAGCTTTTATGTCAATTGTCCTTTTTATACACCTGATTCTATTCTTCAACATAATGAACTGTAGGATTGTTATATATTAACAAAGTATTGTGTGTTTATCTAGGTCCTCACAGGCCATATTTTCCGACGCCTCAAACCACCCAGGTGTTTCCCTCTATAAAACCAGGTTTGTCCTTGTGAACTGTGTAGTGCTCATAATGTGCATTGCTTACACGGCCATTCAGTATCATGATTGGCTTAAAATAAATCTAATTTGCATAATGAAAATATAATTGTCAAATGCCTAACTTTATTAAATGCCTAATTTGAGTAAAGCATGCTTGTTATAATCGAGGGAGGCAACTACATGTATATAGAAAGTAATTGGTATTAACTTGAAATGATGAGATGATAAACTAAATATGATTTTGTTAAATCTATGTTCTAAAAGAAAGGTTAAAGGTGAAATTGAAAAAAAAATATTGTTGAACTTATTGTTGGATTAAAGTATATTAGAGTATGATTCAGAGTTTGTACCCTAACAAAAGTACTAAACCCTAATTGTGATTTCAGATATAATTATTGCATGGTATAAGTTAAGCTAGTGTAATATGAAGTGTTTTGCAGGCTGTATTTCTTGTGACACAAATGTTCAGTAATATTAATAATGATATGATTTGTTTACAGAACCTATAAAATAAGTCATTTAATGATAACGAAATGTTGATTAACTGTCTATTCTTATAAAAAAAACTATGTTAATAATAATTGTTACAGTCACCATGTTAAATAAATGATTTTTCAATAATATGAAAACTGTTCATTTTCCCAACATTTGAGTTTATTTATGATATTGGCTAAATGTTTTGAAGGTTTTGAAATATATGTAGTAAATAATTCTGTTTATATGATATAAACTTATAATAAATCTCTATAATTCTATGATTAACAGACTCTTGACTGTCTAAAGTCTATCTAACAAACTACATAATTATATAAACTGATACTGTTCTTATATGGCACTTGTTAACAAGTTTCAGGTGTATTATTCTAAATGTATTGTATACAGGTAGACTTAACTTTGTTGGTCGCAGTGGTACTGCTCTAGATGTGCGGTATAGTGCACACCCACAGGGTGATCAACCCGAACAGCACACCAAAAGTGTAATCCAGCTGTATGGAATGATGAACAATGGCGGGTTACAACCCCATGGTACTGAGTTTGAGCTGGGGGGGTTGAGTGGCACCTTGTACTGGTTGCGGATTATATATATCACTTCTCTTTTCTCTGGAAGCTGGACTTTATAACATATACCCTGCAACATAATTTATATGATAACTTTGTTATAAACCAATTGAAGAAATCTTAAAACGTTGATGCTGAATATTTTTTTTTTTAAATAATTAAAAGTCAACATTGCCATTTTTAGATAAAAGGGCTTTGGGTGATTATCCTACACTCAACTACCCAAAATGTTATAAATTATTTTGTTTGGTTTCTGTTCATAGTTTCTTGAAGAAACCTGTTTTAACTTTACCTATATAAATAAAATCTAAGGTATTGGACATTGTATTTACAATGAAAATGTTGAAATAGCTGAATTCTTATCTCTTAATTTTGTTAATAAATGTAAATATATTAAACTATAATATATAAATTTGTTGTGGGTTAAATCAAGGGTGAAAATGTAAATACTCAATCAAATAGAGCTGTATATTTGGCTTACATTAAAAATCAATATTATTATTACTGATAAACCCATTATATTTGATCTGAAAATATTTCTAATATACAATATACATGTATTTGATTGATGTATTTACATAGAGGCCCATTACTTTAATGATATTCTTCTTTTTAGGCTTCTCCAACTGCTACTCTTTATATGCGAGGGTTGATTCAGAAATACCCTGAATTTGCTTAGACTTTCTTCGTACAGTTCAATATATAACCTATTTCATCTTAAATTATTATTGCCAAGTACCTTTTCAGTTTGCCTTAGATAACCATGGTTATGCTACTGTGAGATGGGACATAAGTTGATTTGTCATTTACTTTGCCTCTCACTGGGGTTCTGGGTAGAGACTGACAGAAAACCATGTGCAGTCATGCCAAAATATTTGATGCTGACTATAAAACTTTTTTCAGATTTCTAACTAAAGACTTGCTGTCTAGTTTGTGTTAGTTATGAATTTCATATTTCAATGTTTTGAAAAGAAACATTGCCAACAAATCTAGCAATACTCATATTCACATGAAAGCTTTGGATATTTCTGGATCATCCGTCGTATTTAACTTGTCCTGTAAGCTAGCCATAAGACAGCTTTTTAACACACTTTCTTGCAAAACTGATTTTCATTTAAATGTAGACAAAATACCAAACACAGAATAGGTAAGCTACATTCTAGATCAAATGCCTTTACCTTTTAATAGCATTGATATACATTATGTGAAAATTGATGATATGATTGGAGAAATGATAGAAAATGATAAAGCTGGAAAGTGTGTTATAAAAATTTGGAGTTTAAAGAAAATCTTACAGAATTTGTTATAGGTTGCTAGGTTAAATAGAAATCTTTAATTATATTTCTATATTACCAGAAATATTCTGTTTAGGCTAAATTTATGTGAAATTTTATTCTGAAATCTATATTCTGTAAGGACATATATAGATTGTCAAAGATGAGTTTTATTTGGAAAATTGTAGAATACAATATGCTAGTAATGGTCAGTTTTATGATTTCTTGGAGAATACATGATACACCAAAATATAAAGACAAGATACATTCTCTTCTTTACTTCTACCTTTCCCTAAAATAATGTAAATTGGTGTAGGTTTTATATATAAAATATGTATTTACATCCTTTCTTTTACCCAGGTGATTACATAAAAGTTACAATGCATAAATTTGCTTTAATTGCTTTCTGTTTCTCCGCACATATCTTTAATTCTAATCTGTATGTAACACAATTTCTAGTTTTGTATGTAGGCCAACATTACACACACATATATATCCATAAATGCACATTATATATGTACACACATTTCTACACGGTTTTGTCTTGTATATACATACATTCTTGATGCAGAATTTTGCATTTCAGAAATTATCTTTTTTTTTATCTTTTACTTTTATAATTTATATTTGTAGCTTACCTGAGCACTTTGTGCAGTATGGTGAGCTTTTGTGATGGCACTGTGTCCATCATCCAATATTCTTTGTCGTTATCCACAATTTCTTTAAACAACATCTTTTCCTATAGCACCAGGTAGATTTTGACCAAACTTTACAGGAATGATCTTTATGTGGATCTTCACAAGTTGTATAAATTGTTTCAGGCTGATGCATAAGATGCCACAAGAACTAAATAGAGACTTAGAAAATATAATTTTTAAAATCTTTTCAGAAACATCTATATTTGGCATGTAGCATCACCTAATATTTTATATCCTTTACAAGTTATTGAAGTCATGTCCATGCGTCAAAATTAAATCCTTATTTAGTTTTATTTAAGTCTGTGCGTGAAACTGCAATGCCCAGAACTAAGATATTTGGTTTTAGCAGTTCCTTGTGGTAAAAAAATACTGTCTTATTTCTTGCAAGATATCTTCGGTTATAAAGCCCTTTTATGATTAAACGTGTGAGACAATTTTTGTTTGTTTAAATTGTTACTTTATTATTTTCCTCCTTTTCAAAACATCACCTGAGTCAGGCATATATTCTTGAGAGAAAACATTCTAGTCTGTTATTTACAAACAATCCAGGAAATATGTATCCTTGTCAGATATGTGTTATTAGTAAACAGGCCCAACATAAGTGCAGTTTGACAAATTTTATGTAGATGATTATGTTGTAAAATGATGCATCAGCAATGAATTAAAAAAAATGTTTTACGACTAAGACCTTATATGATAATTGTTTTGCTAGAACATAGCTGTCCTGCCGGAGGTATGGATTTTTATTATTTGAACAATCCAGTTTGTTACTGTTTGAAGTTTATCCATCTTTTATACTTTATTCATTTTTTTCTTGATAAAACCCTACCAACAAGGCCTGCATCACCATTGCTGTAACTGTAAATCCTACTTAAAATGTTGATGTGAAATTTTGAAATGATCATTATTTCTTGGTGTGTTTTAGCTGAAAGCTATATATAAGAATATTTGTTATCTTTTTTAAACCACAGTGTCTGATTTGTTACTATTAATTACCTTGAATTTGAATTAACCAATAGAATTTCTGGAATTTTAAACTAGTTGACTCTAATTGTATCTTTGTTGGAAATAATTTTTTGTACATTTTGTATTGAAGGATATGGCAAAACATTGCTTACACCCAGTAGTACTAGCTTGCTAAGTCAGTCTTCTAAGTTATACAAACTCCCAGGTAGAATATACATGTATATGTGTAAATCCATTTTATGTTGATATTCTGTAAATGTTACATTAATAAAATTCAAATTCGACATTCACTATTCATAATTTCACCATGTGACACCATGTGAAAGAAATTTTTTGCACTGACTTGGATTGATCTAAAGTAATTTTATCACAACACAAAGGTTCATCATGTCTTAAGTTGTGTTTGTATTCCCTAGTGCACTAGTTATGTCTTGTAAAAATCACAGAGCTGTCAGAGCTGTCAGAAGTACGTTGATCAAAGTAATCTGCAACAAAGTTGTTCAAGAGTGTTATTACCCCATACCCTTTCACCAAACTACCCTAGCTGTTTTAATGGTGATGTCTTAATTAGGATCTGTTTGGCATAAATTTACAAATTTTAATTATAACTCTAAAACATGCCATAAATTGGTAACACTTCCTATAATTTTTTAACAGAAATTTGAGTTATTTCAGTGAATGTATTTATTATTTGTCTTTCAAAAATTTCAAGAGGAAAACATTCAAGTTAATAGCCTTATGAGTTTATTGTGTTATATACATTCATTTCTTTATTAACAAAATTCTTACTTAATTTTTACTTCTTGATAACATCTATTTATCTACAAAATAACTGATTAAATAAATTAATATTGAATAATAATTCTGTATAAATTAATGTTTTTCTAAACTGTCTGTTTACTAATGTATATACTATTGAGTATTGTATAATTATAGTACAATAGCATTATTCTGGTAAAAGAGTATAAAATGGTGATATATATTTTAATGTTTATTTCATTTAGCAAAGCAAAGTGAGTCCCTTATTCACCACCAAACATTAGAAGAATTTTACCAGACTGCAGACAACTTCTCCCCATCTCATACTTCATCATTCCGCAATAGTGCACGTATACAGTCAGCCCCGCCACCAAGGGTGAAAAGTTCAAAACCGGTACCAAGTGGTGCAAAGACTGCCATGCCTAGAAGGCAATCTTCTGGTAAAAATCAATCCACAGCCAAGCTGGGAAAATCTCTTCTGGACTTTAAGTGAGTATATTGTATGGGTTTAATAAAACATAAATACAGAGTAGGTTATTTCAGAGTTAAAAAAGAAAGAAAAGATAATTGTAATAAGAGAAGAAATTTATAAGGAAGGGAAACAAATTTATCAATGATAATGACAGTTTTGTTTTGTTTGTTAAGAATTCTACTGCTTGCTGGTATTTTTACAATAAACTATTCTTCCTGATTATAATTTGACAATATAATTGTTCTCATGGAAGTATTGTTGTAGTTCGTAGTTCTTCTTGTTGTTTTTTTTAATACTTGTTTGTTGAATGTAACATTTGAACAAACAGAAGTCAAGAAATTTATTCCTAAATGACATCATTGCCATTATAAATTCTAAAAAAAAATTAAAAAAGGGAATAAACTTCCAACTTATTCAATGTTTTTCAATTACTATTAACACTTATTTTATTTGGTAAATAATAAGAGGATATTTTTTCGTTTGCGTGAAATATGGTATATATTTTCACGAAACATGATAAAATGCCACATATTTTCAGGAGCCGGTACGGCGAGTGAAAATATGTGGCATTTCATCATGTTGAGTGAAAATATATACCATATTTCACGAAAAACGAAAAAATAACCTTTTTATTTAATTTCATTATCAAAGAAAATGGTAAAGAATCCCCTTGCTTGCTACCAACTGCAATCGTACAGCGCGCAGTAATTTATGCGTAAGCACGCGCTGTTTGGCGCTACATTGTGACGTCATGTAAACAACTCTTTAAACGTCTGTACAGCGTTAATTACTGAATTAAAGATATTGGTGTTCGGATTAATTTTCTTAGTTAGACCATTTTCTATCATGCTAGATAGTTTTCAAAACGAAATTCAAGAAAAAGTTGTTTGGTATTTATCAGATTTTCAAACAAAACGGCGAAAGAAGTCCCTTAAGATAAATATGAGTTTTGACTCCGCCCACTTTCATATTTATATTTCATATTTATTTTCAAAAAATATGAAATATATTTGACTGATATAGCACAATATTTCATGGGTAAAATTAAATAATGTAGGATTACTTAACCTCAAGCCGGCCAAACTATGACTGAATCTATCTACAGGACCATTGCAGGCTGCAGACTAAGATCAGCTGATGAATCTGTGCAGTCTGCAGATCATGGTCTGCACTGTTAGCTATTCAGTCAGTTCTTATTTTGAAAATTTCCTAAAAATTGATAAATGGCTTTGTCCAGATTTGAAGATGGAGAAGTCCATTTAAGATATTAATTTGGGTAAAAGTTATACAATGTCTACAATGATGAGGTATATTTGTAGAGATGAGAAGACATTAGGAGATGATGAAGAAGATGAGATATTGTATAGTTCAGCTAATGACAGACCAAAGTCAGCTGTTAAACTAGAGGCTGTTGTTAACATGATAGATCAGGTCAAAGATGAGATGAACTTCTTCAGAGAAAAGGTTTGCAACTTTTATAATTTTGTTATCATATGAATTCAGTTCTATTTTTATATATTGTTAACAAAAATTGGAACTGGTTCAAAGTCATGCTTGGTTTCATCATGAAATCATGACATTTTGACCTTTTGTAGCTGTAATATTGATAGTCTATAACTATAATAGTGTTATAGATCAACAAGAAATGCTTCTACTGTCAGAGAGGGCTTTAATAATCATCTGTGATGTTTCATATATCATATATTCTTTATTTATACGAATGCAGCCTAATTGTCTAAATTGAAAACTCATTTAAGTGGTTGGATGAATTATCAGCTTTAATTAATATTTTTTCATGAGTAGTATCATTTAATTATGTAATAATTGAGCCGCGCCATGACAAAACCAACATAATGCGTTTGCAACCATCATGGATCCAGACCAGCCTGCTCAGTCTGATCAAGATCCATGATTTTCGCTATCAGTTTCTGTATTTGTAACGGGGTTTGCAAGTGAACAGCATGGATCCTGATCAGACTGTGCGGATGCGCAGGCTGGTCTGGATCCATGCTGGTTGCAAATGCACTATGTTGGTTTTGTCATAGTGCGGCTTAAATATCATTTTAAAACAGCTTGCACCAGCTCCTATGTCAGGATTTAGACAGCCAGCAAGTACCAGTGTTTCAAATAAACCTCTGTCCAGACCCACCTCTACAGCAAGTCATAGAAGTAGGCCAAGGTCATCACAGGTCAGGCCAAGGTCACCCAGTCCAGAAGGTCGACCAAGTACTCCACAGTAAGTTGAAAATAATATTTTACTTACCAAATATTTATTAAAGTTATATTTTGTTGGAGCAAGATGAATAACTCTTTCTATTCTTTTCAAGTATTAATAGTTTTGTTGCTTCCCTTATTTTGCTCCATATTTCAAATTGAAAGGTAGTATGGTATTATAGGGTAAAGGCATGTTTTTCCGTGTTATAACGTCTGCAGAGTCCTGAGGAAAGGTTTGTGTCCGAGCCTGGTAAGGGTGATACCCAGTATTTCAGTTAGAGCCCATTTTACATCATATAGCTTCATTCTAACTGTATGGGTGTAGATCAATTTATATTAGTTTTTTTTGGAAATAGATATCAATTTAGAATGCATTGTTGTAGAATAATGCACAGTTTGAGTTCAAATGCTTAGGAATATAATCAAAGGCCGATTTGTACTTGATTATCCTATCTGTTTGGTGAAGCACGTTAGAATTTAATACATTGAAAAGGTTTTTTTATAGTAAAATTATGTAATAAGTTAGTTACAAAGCCAGCATTTTATATTTTTAGAGAGGTAGATGAGATATTGATGGGTGAGCCTGAGGTACCGGGAGATTCATTCCGAACTCTCTCTCTACCACTCAACAGACCACACTCTGCCAGTGTTAATAAAGCAGTAGACTGGAGGGGTAAAGTTACACCAGAGAGTGCTAGAATTAGGTATCAATTTAGTAGTTCTTAATATGTTTGTAAATAAAACTTTTATTTTGTGAAACTGTTAACCCATTACCCGATGAGCATTTTGTGAAAAATGGCTGTTTTCATTGAAAAGTCTCCCGTTACAAGTTCAGGTTGCTATAAAACTATAAAAACTGCTTCAATACTAATCAAACTTGGCACAAATGTTGACTGGACCATTGCCTTTGTAACAACATGCTCAGTCTGAAATTTCCTGTTACCATGGCAACTAGGGGACATCTCAAAATTGCCAAAAATCACTATTTTGCGTTGATTTTTTCCATCAAAATTGATTTCAAAGTGCTGCCACTTCTCAATGGATCGAGATAGAGTCAAAGGCTTTTCAGCATTGATTACACGTTATCTTATGATCGACCTGGGGCCATTTTTAGCCTTCCACAAGTCCAAAATTTTCTTGGCGATGAGGGCACATCCCCCTTCTGGCAACCCCCTGATGTATCTTTTGGATGGGGGGCCGCGCCGAAAAAGTGGTCAATTTTTTAAACAACATTTCTCAAACAAAAACAAGTGTTTTGGGGCCTTAATAAGGCATTTTTTCACCATTTGAGGAAGCAAAAAGGGGGGGGGTGAAAAAGGCGTAGAAAGGCGTATATATCTGGTAATGGGTTAAACTTATTAAAATAAAGGAACATCACTGAACACTTGATTTGACAGAATTAGTTATGTAAATATAAGATATGAAAATGCATATTGCTTCAACTAATATGCATTGTTGAATCTTAATCTTACTACCAATCTTTGTAAAATATGTAATTTTAACAAAGATTTTGGGTATGTTATATGACCCAGTTAAGATGGTTTAAAGTGAAGTGATGCTCATGTTTTATAGCAAACAACCTTTTATACAAAGTCCAAAAATATATAATATCTTATAATTCTTTTCTTTGATTACACTTTAGAATGAAAATTAATTAAAAAAAACTTGAGACATCTATGTGTTTAGATAAATATCTTTTATGATTGTCCCAAAATCAACATTACAAACATGCAGTTTTATAGAGATTTATAATTTCATTTTTCCCATAGAGCTGTATAAGGAGTTATGTTTGATAGTTCTGATATTTATAATTTAAACATAAATGTATTTGTAAAGGTCAAAAACAAGGTTTGGTGGTCATAGCTATGTACAGAAGTTAAAACCCTCCCTGAGAACAGCAGGGGCGTCCAGTGCTGGGAAACGCCCAAAAACTGCACCCATTTCTATGAAAGAGAGATGGCATTCTAAAGAGAAGGTAAGAAATAGTAACTTAACATTTATGTAGATAAATTCATCATAAAAGCAAATGTTGCTAAATGCCTGTTTTTATGAATATTTCATATATGGCGAATATACTAATTAAACATTGAAATTGAAATGATATTGAAATTCTGTACATTATATTTGTTTAATATGAAAACTTCTCTGGTGTCTTGACAAAATTAGATTTAAACTTGTCTAATAATGTCAAATAAAAATAATAAAAATACAGAATCAGACTGTAATAAAGATCAAATGTTAGAATTTGGAACACAAATACTGAGTCAGGTAATTTTTCATACTTTAACTGAAACACACTTTATTCCATGCTTTGAAGTTACATGTACATATTTTCAAAAAAGAAAGTTAGTGTGAATAAATATTCATTTTAGTATAGATGAAACAATCTACTTGTTTTTATGCTAAAACAATATAGACAAATATGTTATAGCTGAAATAAATGAAGTTATCATTCTTTCTGTAAACAAGTGATAAAATTAAAAGGATGTTTCTTGAAATTAGGAAACAACAACAACAAAATCAATTCTGCTTCCAACATGACCTGTATAACATGATAGTTTATTTTGAGTGTAAAAATAGATATCATTTGTGTATCTTAATGCTGTATGTATTTTGCTTACATTTGTTTATGTTCATTATTATCATAGTTTTCATTATCAAATATCAAATTTTGTGTATTTTAGAGGAATATTTGTCTTCACATCTTTGTAAAATCTCAATTCACCAACACATCTTTGAAGTTTAATTCAATTTTTTCCATGATCAAATTTTCAGAAAATTTGTGCATCTTATAATTATTTAAGAGTGCTTGCAACTAAATAATTGATAACTAATTGTCATTGTTTCAAAATAGAAATGTTAAGAAAAAGGCTGTGAAGTTAATTGAGTGTGTGTGTAACTAATTGGTACAAAATTGGCTTCTTTTAGTTTCACTGATTTTTTTTTAATTTTTCAAACAGTGCATAACACCACCATTTGAACAAAATGTTAGATGTATTATTTATGCATTTAAAATTCTTGGTTGAGGATTGGTTATCTTTACCTTGCCAACAGAACTAACTAAATTAGAATTTATGTAGAGCATTAGACTGCGGGCAAGTTTGTGAACAAAGATGTTGGTTAGGAGAGCATTGCTTTGTACTCTGACATTTGGTTATAAGGACTTAAGGCAACAACAAAACTATCTATCTGTTCCTTGAAATAAAATTTCAACCCACAAGGAATAACTATGTAATGTTGGTGTACACCTGAACTTTTAAAAATGAATGCATTTAAAGTGATATGTCTATAATGGTTCATTGCAGTGAATAGTTTGTGTCCAAACAAAGTATCAAGTCAGGCTATAGCATAGTATTATTTGACACTTGAATATGTCATAGTTGTGTCAAAGATTTATCATGATGTTTAGCTGATGCTTAGCTTCTTATCGTATTTCAAATTTGTAGATTATACAATAGTATAACAACTGTAGATATTCTAAATTGTTCTGTTTATTGTTTTGCTACCTCACACTGATAAGGAGGAAAATGGTGAACCATTAAAACTTCCTGAGGTTCAAATACAGGTATGTAATCTACACAATAATGCATGGTGTAAGATCATAAATATATAAGAAAAAATCTGTCCAAATACAGCAAAGCTCGGTAAATTTTGCCCATCCGTTTAGTATATATTGATATAGTGCATGTGCTAAAATTAAATATTTTCAATGAATTACATGTTATCCTCAGCTAGAAAGTGTCTAAAATCTTCTGTGTATGTAATATGTTGTAAAAATGTTAAAGAAATAGGATTTTTACAATCAAACTTTTAACAGTAATATTTCAATCGTCAATATCATCATACTTGATTTTACCCATGGCTTAATATTTTCTATTTTTAGCTCGACTATTCGATAAGAATAAGTAGAGCTATTGCGTTCACCCGAGCGTCGGCGTCGGCGTAACCACTTATGTTAAAGTTTTTGTAATAGTTCAAATATTTTCAAAGTCCATAGACATATGGCTTTGAAACTTTGCACACTTGTTCACCATCATGACCCCAACCTGTAGACAGGAGGAGGTAACTCTATCAAGCATTTTGACAGAATTATGCCCCTTTTTCGACTTAGAATTTACGTTAAAGTTTTTGTAATAGTTCAAATATTTTCAAAGTCCATTGACATATGGCTTTGAAACTTTGCACACTTGTTCAACATCATGACCCCAACCTGTAAACAGGAGGAGGTAACTCTATCAAGCATTTTGACAGAATTATGCCCCTTTTTCGACTTAGAATTTACGTTAAAGTTTTTGTAATAGTTCAAATATTTTCAAAGTCCATTGACATATGGCTTTGAAACTTTGCACACTTGTTCAACATCATGACCCCAACCTGTAAGCAGGAGAAGGTAACTCTATCAAGCATTTTGACAGAATTATGCCCCTTTTTCGACTTAGAATTTACGTTAAAGTTTTTGTAATAGTTCAAATATTTTCAAAGTCCATTGACATATGGCTTTGAAACTTTGCACACTTGTTCACCATCATGACCCCAACCTGTAAACAGGAGGAGGTAACTCTATCAAGCATTTTTTTTACTATCAAGCACTAAGAATAGTCGAGCGTTGCTGTCCTACCGACAGCTCTTGTATTACTTGTAATAACTGAACATGTAACATTCATTTTATATTTAATTTTTTTTTTTACTGAATACATAATATTGTTATCATACTTAAGTTGAGAAATTGTCACTTTGTAGTGTAGCATACTATTATTAGATAGTTTTAGAAAGAAAAGTTTAGTTCTTTACTCAAGGTAATTGTGATTGAGACATTATATTTCCTGTAAATTCTGTCTTGGTGAAGGAATAATCTTGAAAGAAAAAAAATTGATATGATTGTGTAGTTTTTCAACTACTTTGTAATACATGTAATATTCTAAGGTTGAAAAATAATATATTTGACATTATAATGCCCCTCTTCAAAGAAGAGGGGGTATATTGTTTTGCTAATGTTGGTCTGTCTGTCGGTCTGTCTGTCGGTAGACCACATGGTTTCCGCTGATTATCTTGAAAAGTATTTATCACAAAGTCTTCATATTTCACATAGTGATTGGTCATAACTAGTAGATGACCCCTATTGATTTTGGGGTCACTAGGTCAAAGGTCAAGGTCACAGGGACCTTAAATGTCAAAATGGTTTCCGCTGATTATCTTGAAAAGTATGTATCACAAAGTCTTCATATTTCACACAGTGATTGGTCATAACTAGTTGATGACCCCTATTGATTTTGGGGTCACTTGGTCAAAGGTCACAGGGGCCTGGAATGTCAAAATGGTTTCCGCTGATTATCTTGAAAAGTATGTATCACAAAGTCTTCATATTTCACATAGTGATTGGTCATCTTTAGTAGATGACCCCTATTGATTTTGGGGTCACTAGGTCAAAGGTCAAGGTCACAGGGACCTTAAAATGTCAAAATGTTTTCCGTTGATTTTTCCATAATTGAACACTTCCCTGTACCCATTTTTGGCATGTTTCTGTAATAAAATTACCAATTATGTGAGTCAATGGCTAGAAAGGGGGGTATATGTGTCGTTCGACATTCTTGTTTAAAATTACATTTTCATGCCGGCTTAAATATTGTACAACATTTTATTGTTCTGGTTTAAGAACTATCCCAAAGTACCACAAAACTATCCTTTCTATCCGGTGAAACCTCGAGATGATAAGCCACTGGCTTTAATTACAATTACGGTAAGACAGACACCTTGCATGCAACAATATCAACATCTTTAAACATCTCTACTTTATACAAACTAAGGTCACTTGCTTTGATTGAAAAAAATATATCATCCAATATTATACATGTGATATAAAGTGGAAATTCATTGAAGTCTGTTAAAAGTGTTGGAATATATTGCAATTTATGTTTTTGCACATATGATCTTAAAGCAGCACGCCTCCAGATTCGTGCTTATTTTCATGAAAATTTTGAAAATGTATTTGAAAGTATAATATTGTAAAATAACCAAAAGGAAGCAATTAACACATAATCAATGGCACTTACAACCCACGTAAAGTACCAAAAAGTGGTCAAAATATGCAGAAATAGCCCTAACTGCGTTAGTAACACAGTAGAAATATAGTTGTAAATACTGAAAAATCAGTCATTAATGATTAATCGCACATGACATGTAAGATTTTACTTGAATCTTGAATAATTTTACTTTTCCTAAAATCTTAGAACATATTTCTCAAGTTTGATTTTATTGAAATATTTTTACTCATCTGGAGGCATGTAGCTTTAAAATATAAGTGAATGGGAAGATTCAGAATTATATAATAACTGTTGTAAACTTTTATCTGAACATTAAAGCTGCCTGCCTCCAAATGAGCCAAAATATTTTAAGAAAATCAAACTTGAGAAAAATCTATTGAGGTTTTATGAAAAGTAAAATGACTGAAGATAAAAAAAGTAATAATTCCCATGTTATTTGCAAAAAATGGCTGATTTCTCAGTAAATTTCACCATAGTAGAACGCAGGAAGGGCTAATTTTGCATATTTTGAGTTCTTTTTGGTATTTTACATGGGTTGTAAGTGGCCTTTGCAATGTGTGTATTATTTACTTTGTCAGCTTCACAATTTTTTACTTTTTAATACATTTTCAAAATTTTCATGAAAATTATAGGAGGAATCTGGAGGCGTGCTGCTTTAAACATTGTGATTGCATTACTTTACAACATTAACAGAAAATGTTTTCTGCACATTTTCACTTTCCAATAGCTAGGAATTGACCATTTTGATAACAAGAAAGAAGATGAAACTGCATGCAAATGTTGCTTGCTGGAGATTCATCAGGAATCAATGTCTGTGTGCAGTTTTGATCACTTGACTTATTTAATTTTAAAAGAACTTTACACAGCTTTTCAAAATGTGGTTGGTATAATAAGCAAGTGACCTTGGCATTTAGCATGGTGACTGTGGTATAAT